CCAGAGAAGGGCAACGGAGCTGGGGCAGGGTCTGGAGCACAGGTCTGCTGGGGAGCGGCTGGGGGAACTGGGGGGGTTCAGTCTGGAGAAGAGGAGGCTGAGGGGAGACCTCCTGGCCCTCGGCAACTCCCTGCCAGGAGGGGGCAGAGAGGGGGGATGAGTCTCTGGAGCCAAGGCCCCAGCGCCAGGCCCCGAGGGAATGGCCTCAAGCTGCCCAGGGCAGGGTCAGGCTGGCTCTGAGGAAGGATTTCTGTGCAGAAGGGGCTGTTGGGCGTTGGAATGGGCTGCCCAGGGCAGGGGGGAGTCCCCGGGATCCCTGGGGGGGTTGAAGAGTCGGGCTGAGCCAGCGCTGAGGGATCTGGGGGAGCTGGGAAGGGTCAGGGTGGGGGTCATGGTTGGGCTGGAGGAGCTCCAAGGCCTTTTCCAACCTCAGTAATTCTGTGACTCTGTCTGGAGGGATCCACAGTCAGGCTCTGGGCTGGGGCCCGGTGACTCCTCAGCCCGTGGCCGGGCCCTGTGTGCCGCAGCAGAAGTCTCGGCTGGGTGGCACACGAGGGCAGTCGTGATTAACCCTCTTCATCTGCCGGGCACAGGGCGCCTTTCCTCCCTCAGAAGGTGCCCTGCAAGCAGTTGGTGTGTAGCTGCTCTCCCAGACGTGTTCAGAGCAGTGGACCATCGCCTCCTCTCCCCCCTTGTCACCCCTCGTGTGCATCACTGGTCGGCAATTCCATGTGTTATTTTCAGAGCTGTTTATTGAAAAGGGGGAATTTTAAGATGGAGATTCTGGTTTCTTCCTTAAGTCTTGTAGGACCTTTCGTTTCCTCTCTTCCCTCTCTCATCTCCTGGCTGAAACTGTTTTGGTTTTGTGTTGCAGGAGTTGTTTGTTGAAACCATAGCCAAAGATGCTTACGTGTATGCTCAACAAGGAAAAAGGAAAACTCTGCAGAGAAAAGACCTCGGTACGAGAGCGTATTCTGTACTACCCTTACCAAAGACTGACAAGGGTGGAGGATTTTTCCACCTTTCCCAGTGTGATGAAGTAATCAGACGTGCTTCTTTTTCTCTGAAGATGGGAGAGAAAAACTTCTACCAAATAGTACAGTAATAATTTCACACACCAGCTCCAAAACAAGCAAACCTCCTTGAAATGGGTCACTGTACCGTGATGTAATCTCAGATGCTGCTGTTTGAAGCAGATGCAAATATGGAGTTGGTTTATCTATGTTAATTGCTTTCAATTTGCTTTGCAGATAATGCCATTGAAGCTATTGATGAATTTGCTTTTTTGGAAGGTGAGTTTCTACTTGATTTCACTTGGTTTCAGTATTTTGTGTAATCTCCTTCTTGGGAGAGAAAGAATTTAATCATTTGCAGAGTCCTGTTTCCTCATCTTTAATAATTAATAGTGTAACTTGTTCTGCCTGTCTCTGAGAAGGGAAACACAAATCAAGTGCACCCTGAGACAAGTTACAGTACTTTTTAGCTAGATTTCGTTTTACTTGTGTGTGCTTTGCTTAAACTTTAAAAAGTTACTGACTGTTCCTTTGGCAGCTTGTAAGTAGGTCTCATTTGTTCACATAACTGCATTTCTCATTCCTGACACTACAGTTTTGGGGTTGTTTTTTTATTTTTTAGGTACTTTGGACTGAGCTGGACAGAGGTGGACCTCTCTGGAGAAAGAGACTGCAGAGATGGACATGGGGTGGAAAATGGGATGTTGAGAGTTTGAAAATTTTTCCTAGAACTGAGACACTGAAATGGCAACCATAGTATTTTGTATAAAGTTTAAGTTGTTGCAAGTTCTGTATTTAAAAATGCATATTTTTTCATAAATATTTTGTATGTCACTTAACTGTGCCCTGCTGCCTCTCTGCAAGCTGCTCTCCAGCTTTGGCACACTCAGCGGTTGCTGGGAGCAGTGGTTCCTGCCT